CTATTTCCAGGGCTACTAGTAAGATGCTCAAAGTCCCATGTTCTGGAGAAGTTGGTAAACTCGTCCGACGTAAATTGCGGTCCGTTGTCACTAATTACTTGATCAGGTATGCCATAGCGGGCAAAGTGACTCTTCAGCTTCAGGATTGTGGTGCTGGCTTTAGTGTTTGGTAACCTGTCCACCTCCCAGAAATTGCTGCAGTAATCTATCGTGATCAGGTAATCCTTGCCATCAAGGGTAAATATGTCTGTGGCTATTTTCTCCCAAGGACGAGATGGGACTTCGTGGGACATCAGTGTCTCCGTTACATGTGTCATGCTGTCGAGTTCTCTACACGTTTCACACGCGGAGATGTATTCTTTCATTTCTAACCAGACATGCCTGGCCAGTAAATACATTCGCGTGCCCGCCTCAGACATGCCTCTATTCCGAGGTGGAACGAGTGAATCTTCAGCTTCATATCTGCGCGAAGGCTCTTAGGTATCATGACGGAATTCCCTTTGAAGACCAGGCCATCTTGTACGGTCAGGTCATTACGCATGCTGAAGTAAGGGTGTGTCAGTGCTGAGGCGTCTTCCTTGTTTTCTGGCCATCCTACTAGAATAGTCTCTTACAACTCTCACAGAGACTGGTCCCTCCGGGTCTCGGCTCTTATTTTATCTAGACGCTGGTCAGATGTGGGCAGATAACGGACCAAGCTGACTGATTCGATGTCGTCTACTTCTTTGCCTTTGTAGGGAAGGTACGCCCTTGACAGCATGTTGGCCAAGTGCATGTTTTTTCCGCGCTCGTAGTGCACGGTGAAATTTCTGTAGCCGCATCATCACTAACTGGAGGCGTCGAGGTGCTCGGGCGAGTGGTTTCTGTAGAATCATTTCCAGTGGCTTGTGGTCACCTTCGATGTATACATGTCGACCGAATGTGTGCTGGTTGAAACGCTCAAGAACGAAGACAATCGCAAGCATCTCCTTCTCTGTTTGAGCGTACCGTGTTTCTGTATCGGTGAGGGAACGACTTGCGTACTCCATTGGCCTGCCATTCTGAAGTATAACTGCGCCAAGGCCACTCTGGCTGGCATCACAAAGTATGGTTAGGTTCTGTGAGGGGTCGTAGTAACATAGAACAGGCGCTTCGGAGATTGAAGTTGTCTTTCCTTCTGGTTTCCTTGTTACAAGGGATTATCTTTATTCTGGCCATATATAGCAATTACAAGTCAAAAAGTTATGCTCTAGGTTGATTTTTGAAACAATAAAAATAATCAGTAGTTTGAAAAAAAAGAAAGAAAACGAAACAGAGGAAAGAGTACTAGACTGAAACGATCGTTGTTGTTTACCGTGATTATTCACATAAAGTCGTCTACGTTTTCTTACGGCCTAACGTTACCATATAATGGCCACTTTTTACCGCCAAACTGCTGGTCTTTTTTTTTTTTTAAGGTGATAAGCTCCATCAGGCGCACGTTATAATCCAAACTCTTTACATAGGAATGGGTCTAGTGTTAGATCTAATTCTTATCAGTGACTCTACATCGCAGGAAAAACGAGTGAACTTTCAATGATGTGAATCATAGTTCTGACATTTCTTTTCTTTTTCTCGGCACGGAACAGGAGA